GAAACCGTGGGGTGGTGGGGCAGGTCCTTAGTGGGCCCCGGAAACGGCAGGGCCGCTTCCGAAAAAGCGTCTTGAAAATGGAAGCGGCAACAAAACGGCGACCAGAAACGGCAAACGGCTCCAAGATTGGACCCGGAGCCGGAACCGGTAAACAAACAGCGACGGCACCAATCAAATAACGGCAAAACGGAACCGGCAACAAAACGGCAAAACGGAACCGGTTCACAAAAAACCGGCCCTGTCGCTTCCAGGGCCCACTAGTTAGAGCAGAGCTCGCATGTGGCCTCCTGGAGCGAGTTTCGCTATTTTCGGCGATGATTTGCATTATAGAGGGGGTGAGGGGGCCAGGGGGGGGGTATGATGCAGCGCCTCCCCCCCGCCGTGCGCACAGCGGCAATGCCCAGAGCGCACTGGGGGGGGGAGGGGCGTTACGTTGTAGGGGGGGGGGAGGGGGGGGGGGGCCGGAGGCTCTCATGCCCATGGTGCCTCAAGCAATCAAGAGACACGCTCCTACCAGGCCGCCGCCGCGGCCGCTCCTGGAGGCCTGGAGCGGCGCGAGGCCGCCTGAGGCCGCGTCCCACGGCGCCGGGTGGGCCGCCGGCGCCGCCTGCAGAGCGGGGCCGCGGAGCCGAGGGGCGAGAAGACGAGGCGAGGCGCCGACCGGCGTCCAGAGGGACGGCCCTACGATCAGGTCGGGCACGTCCTCCTATGCAGTCGGGGCGTGGACCTAGGGAACCCTAGATAAGGAACGAGACCCCTTTGTATCCATGAGTTAAGCTTCGGCTTCCCATCGAAACCAGATGAAGACCGTAGGCAAGCTGAGAAACAATCAAGGAACACCGAGCCCCTCCCCAGCGAAAAAAGGCTCCTTCTTCGGCGCCTCGACTGCACAGGCGGACATCGGAAGAAGAATGGGCTGGAAAAAAGTCAACACATGTGAAAAACGAGTCCACGGAGCACGAGAAAACTCGCCCCATACTATTTATGTTGACTACTGTTGGGCATTCCTCCTGTAGCGGGAGCATGCCCGACTCCGCCCTGCGAGAGCACGGCGGTCGGGCCGGAGCCCCGGGGACACACCTAGAATCCCTGCGCAATCCATGGGCGTGGAAGCTCGCAGAGGGCGAGGGAGGTCGACGACGACGACGACGACGAGCGATGAGCGATGACAATGACAGTGACAATGCCGACAACGACGACGCCGACGCCGAGCCCGGATGAGAGCGGAGGTGAAGGAAAAAAAGGAGCTCGAAGTGGCATGACTTCGGGGGGCCTCAGCTCCGTTGGTGGGGCCAGGGGCCTGGTGCACCCACCCTGGCCACTCAAGGACAGGGCAACTATGGTTAGGTCGGGCGTGTCTCCCTACAGGGAGATTTTGGCCGAACATCAAAAATATTAAACACATGCCAACGAAATTACCAAACATTATATTTTTTAAACAAACATCTCTAGACTATGTTTTGACTATTTGGGAACTGTCTCCCTGTGGAGGGACACGACCGACTTAAAACTGTGGAGCGAAGCGGTGGGATTGCTGCAGAGCTTCCCATAGCCCCGCCGGCTTTGTCCGAGAACGCGATCCAATGTTAACGTTGCGGCTCCAATGTTAACGTTGCGGCCGCACGCGATTCTCGGGCAGCGTCAACTCACTGAAGGCCAAACAGACTGCCCAAGGCGCCGATACCCTCCCCCCCAACACACACACACACACACGCCACACCACACCACACCACACCACACCACACCACACCACACCACACCACACCACACCACACCACACCACACCACACCACACCACACCACACCACACCAGCGACGTCTTCCTTCAAGATCAGCGCGGCCAATAGCGAGAGGAATTCGGCTTCGTGCCGCCAAGGCGAGGAATCGGAACAGACGAGAAGCATCACAGCGACCTGACTAAGGATCCTTGGGTTTCGACCCCCTGGGAATGCGGTCCAAAAACGTGAGCGGACCCCGAGCAACACGCCCAGAGTCTCAGGAGGAGGAGGAGGAGGAGGAGGAGGAAAGGAGGCCCTCCTGCTCCTCCGCCCTTTCCCCGTGCCAGGGCGGGCCCGCGAAACATGGCGGAACCACTTGGGGGCACCTGGGCGCCTGGGCGCACACCGCATCCCGTGGCCGCTGAGCTTCCTGCCGCCGCCGGGCGCGGCCTCGCCCACCGCTGCAGGGACGCTCCGGAGTCAGCGACGGCCCGGGCGTGCGCACTGCGGACGAGCTGCCCCGTCTGCCGAGCAAGCGGCCCGCTGAGCAGCGACTGCGCGAGGCAGAAGCACAAACGCAGCACGCGTGCGCAAAACAAACTTCGGATCTCCGCGATGATCTCTTGGATAGGCGCAAGACCTCGTCCCTGGCGCCCAGAGGCGCCGCCAGGGAGCCCCGGCGCAGATTCAAGAGATCCACGGGGAGCTCCGAAAGTTTTTGTTCATGCCGAATGTCCTTCGTCGAGTGAGGGAAGACGGGAAGGCAGAACGGGCAGTGGAACGGCGAAACTTGGGCGAGAGAGTGACGAAGTTCCTGTCCAGGCGCACGGACCTCCTGACTGCCAGAAGCTCCCGACTGTACTCTGCCTTCGAAACAAATCTACTTACGAGGTGCGAGAACACCGGACGCTCACAGCACAGACTGCACTGGCCGACTGGAACCTCTACGGGCACGCAACCCTCGGGGGGGGCCAGTGTGTACTCAGGCGCGACATGAAGGTCATGATGATGAGGTGGGGTGCCGAAACGAGAGCAGAAAAGGCAAGCATGGGAATTCGAGAAGCAATATTCTGCATAAACAGAAGTTATCTAAAATCCGCGCGGACCTCCGAGAGGTTATGTTTATGCAGTTGGTTGCTGTTCGAGTTAGGCTGTTCTCCAGAAGGGCTCCTTCGAAACCAAACTACTGACGGTGCGAGCCCTTCGGAGACTCAAGGCACAGACTGCACTGGCCGACTGGCGCACCTATGGGCACGCAACCCTCAGAAGGGGGCCAGTGCTCTGGCGCGCCGTGGAGGTCAGGATGAGGGGGTGGGGTGCAGAAGTGGGCGGCGAGGGGCAGGCAGGGGGGATCGGAGCAGCTGGAATCAAGAGGCGCAGAATTAAGAGCACGTGGCAGAACGAGCGCAGAGGCGCAGAGAGAAGCGTGCAGCAGGGTCCACCTCGGGTGGTGCTGGCTCTCCCGCGCCGGCGTCCAGGTGCGGCAGCTCCTGCGAGGGCCGTGGGGGGCATACGAGTCACAAGCGCACATGACTACGCACGGCGGGATCGTGCCGTGACGACCCCAGCGTTGGTTCTTGACAGCAGGGGCCTCCAGCATGGGGTCCGAGCAGATGGGGTCGAAGGATCGCGCCGCATCGCCAATGCATCAGCGATGCATCGGTGGCGTCGGCGATGCATCGGCGCAGTTGGCGTGGAGAAGGTCGGTCTCCATATCGAGCCGCATCGACGATGCATCGGCGATGCGGAGCGGTCCTTCGACCCCATCTACTCTACTCGGACCCCACTTGGGAGGCCTAGAGACATCGCGTGGGCCGTTGTACCTCGAACGATCGGCGACATGTCGAACGCCAGATCGTTTAATATTGGCCGATTCTGGGCCAAGGCGCCCGCGGTGGGGTCGCCGCCGCGTCGACACGACGCGAACGTACCGTACGCTTGTGGTCCTCTGCAGCGTTGGATCAACAGCCTGTCGAAAGCACGCGGTGCCCGCAAGCTGTGCTGCGTTCGAGCGCAAGTCGCGCACGCTCCAGATCACGATGCTCCTACGAGGCCTCCCAGAGTGTCGCACGAGTACCAACTCTAGTCATCGCGCTACCACGGGGAACGCGGAGGAACGGGAGGGAGGGAAGGGAACGCGTGCTACAGGCGACTGGGGAAAAGGAGTGAGGCAAGGGAAGGACTGCAAGAGAGGGAGGAAGGAGGGATGGAGGTCTAGAGGGATGCTGGGAACAAACATGCGAGTAGTTTTCTGCGCGCTGGCAGGAACTATAAATGCAGAATCTGGAGTGGACCTGGATAAACTCGACCCAGGATGAAAAGGGCGAAACGCTCTCCGAGCGAAAGGCCAGCGCCAATCACCGTATGTGCACTACCATGCGATCCCCTTGCACAGAGGCGCTCATCAAGCGCGGCTGTAGAACAACATGCCCCCAAAACAGGGCACGGGCTAAAACGCGCATGTCGGGGATGCTACCAACTGGCACCAAGATTGCCGCACGAGGCCCAAACTGTCTCCAAGAGTTCTGGGGAGGGCCTCCGAGAGACTAACAAAACCGCCAACATCTATGAGTTTGTTTTCAGCTGGAGGTTGCTACAGGAGGGGTTCCAGAGGCCTGCGGGACGGGCCAAGGGCGTCAAAGAGCAAGAGACCCAGGACGCCCCCGAGTCGCCTCAACATGGCCTCAGAGTCCCCGGCGTGTCAGATTGCTCCTGCTCCTGCTCCTGCTTCCTCTCTTACTCCTCCTCCTCCTCCTCCTCCTCCTCCTCCTCCTCCTCCTCCTCCTCCATCTCGTTCCCATCCTCCTTCTCCTCCTCCTGCTCCTCCTCCTCCTCCTCCTCCACCTCCTGCTCCTCCTCCTCCTCCTCCTCTGAGGGTACTGATGCCGCTGCTCCCCGGACTTCTGCCGGACGAAAATTCCGATGTCAAGCCAGCCGTGGCGACGAAGGATCTCCAATACGGAAACCGACCCCCATCCTCCTCCTCCTCCTCCTCCCTCCTCCTCCTCCTCCTCCTCCTCCTCCTCCTCCTCCTCCTCCTCCTCCTCCTCCTCCTCTCCCTCCATCTCCTCCCTCCTCCTTCCTCCTCCTCCTCCTCCTCCGCCTCCTCCTCCTCCTCCTCACCTCCTCCTCCTCCTCCTCCTCCTCCTCCTCCTCCTCCTCCTCCTCCTCCTCCTCCTCCTCGGGGGGGGGATGAATCGCATTCGGGGGGGAAGGCAGACGGACGGACGGACGCCCTTGGACTCCCTGCGGACCATCCCTCCAGGACGGCACCTTCCTCCATTTCTTGCTGCGCGGCCGCGTCGACCGCGTCGCCGCCCGCGCTGCCGACGACACCCCCGCCAGCAGCCGGGGCAAGCTCGCGAGGGGGCGGGGGCCGGTGGAAGCCGTAGGGTAAAAAAGCTGAGGGGGTGATGACGATGATGGTGACGGTGAGGATGATGATGATGATGATGATGATGATGATGATGATGATGATGATGATGATGATGATGGCGATGGCTGTGTTGATGTTGCTGATAATCATGCTGATGGTGATCATGATGGTGATGGTGATGGTGACGGTGACGGTGATGGTGGTGGTGATGATGACGATGATGAGGATGGCGATGCTGATGAAGATCATTATGGTGGTGGTGGTGAGGGATGTGGTGTTGTTGGTGGTGGTGCTGGTTGTGATGCTGATGATGATGATGATGATGATGATGGTGATGGTGATGGTGAGGATGATGATGATGGTTGTAATGATGATGATGATGATGATGATGATGATGATGATGATGATGGTGATAATAATGATGATAGAGCGCGTGTCTTTTTGTTCGGCGATGACGGGCATCATGGGGGTGGGGGCGAGGGGGGTGTATGACGTAACGCCCCCCCCCCCGCCGTGTGGCTCCGGCACTGCAGCCGCGCCCGCGCGCGCGACGCGACGAGCGACGAGCGACGAGCGACGACGACGACGACGCGAGCAGCATGTCGGTGGCGATATGCCCCACTGCGCCACAGCGCGCGTGTATACCACAGCGCCTGCGTGCACCGCAAAACCTGTGTGCAACGCAGCGTCTGTGTACACCACAGTGCTTGCGTACACTACAGCGTCGGTGTACATGTATACACCGCAGCTACCATGTGCAACGCAGCGCCTGTGTACACCATAATGCTTGCGTGCACCGCAGCGCCCGTGCACGCAACAGCGCGTGTCTACACCACAGCATCCGCGTGCATTGCAGCGCTGGTGTACACCACAATGCCCTCTTGCATAGGAAAGGTAGAGGGAGCATGTGCGTGAGGATCTGCTGCGGACAACTAGACGCCACGCCAGGAAAGAGCTGATAATCGAATGCGACATTCTTCCCTCTTCCCTCCTCCTCCACCTCCACCACCTCCTCCTCTTCCTCCTCCTCCTCCTTACCCCCTGTCGTGCGGGTTGGCGCTACGGCGCACGTGCGCATCTCAGCGCGCACCGCAGAATGGTCTATTGAATCGGTCCACTTGGTTCTCGGGCGGCTAATTTAGCTGGAGCCTCCTGGGCGCAGATGGGAGGAGTTAGGGTGATGCGGGCGGACTCGGGAGGACCCGTAGATTCCAGCGGGGCTCCGTTGTCCATACATATTGTATTTTTTATTGTTCTCTGTGGAATACACGAGAGCTCCATTTTGTCTAAAGATTCGTTTAAACATTCTATATACAACAGTGGCTGTGTTGCGCACGCCTGCTCTGGTGCACACAGGCGCCGTGGTGCACACAGGCACTGCAATGCACCCAGGCATTGTAGTGTACACAAGTGCTGTGTTGCACACGGCTGATGTGGTGTACGCAAGCGCGGTGGTGTGCACAAGATGTTGTGCCCGCAGGCACGGTGGCACAAACTGACGCTGTGTTGCAAGCGGCTGCTGTGGTGTACATAGGCGGTGTGTGCACAGGCGCTGTGGTGCACGCAGGCGCTGTGGTGTACACAAGCGTTGCGGTGTAAATCGCCACCTACATGCTGGCGCTACCCGTCCTCCGTCATTCCTAGGCATTCCCAGACGCCGCCGGCGCGAAACGTGACGACATCGCCACCCTCCCCCCCCTAAATGATTGCCGTCATCGGCCCGGGATTGAAAAACAGGCTTCAGCCGCGTCCGCGCGCACGACGACTATGAGCGACGAGCGACAAACCAGGAGCGACGATGACGACGACGACGACGACGATGACGACGACTGCGGACCAAACTCCTATGCGGATTCCTACGCGGGCACCTACGCGGATCCGAAAACGCACGGCGGCAGTGCCCAGAGCGCACTGGGGGGGGAGCGTTACGTCATGGGGGGGGGGGAGGGGGGGAGCGGCGGCAATGACGCCGTCATGCCCCAAGCAATAAAGAAACGGGCTCATATGTGATGTTGCATACTGGGGGGGGGGTCTCGTCTGTCCCGTCACGGGGCTATCCGAATCGAATCATCGGATCTGCCGAATCCGCTTGGAATCCTCGTCGAAGCCGCGCTGGATCCACGCCGAACCCGCGCCGAACACGCGTCGGATGTCCGAACATACTGCAGTTTACAAGACAGACGGGGCCCTCCCAAAAACTGCAACACAAGGTGTGTCCAAACGTAAGCCAGGATGTGACATGTCACTGGCAGGAAAGCGAGAGCGGGCAGGATTGGAAGACGAATCAACTGCATTAACTCAACTTTTTGATCTCCGGCAGTTGATGTTTATGCCGTGTTCTCCTGTGCGAGAGCGGGGGCAGAATGACTGTGTCGAGACAAGAGAACGGAGGGCGGGGCGGGGGGAGACGAGCAACCAGGTGGGAGAGCGATGGGGGGGGGAGAGACAGCAGCCGCTAGGAGAAGCCCTTTCTGGGCTTCGCCCGCGGGGCCGCCGCGCGAGGTCGTGCAGCCTCAGGCCGCGCGGCAGTGGCATCCGACTTCATAAAGAAGCCGACCTGGCCCTCCCCACCCTCCGCGGCACCCAAGCCGCTCTGGAACGAAAACAACGCCACACGAGAAGCGATAAGAAAAGAAACGGGTCTCACGCAGAATGACATGCCATAGCGACCTCACGCAGTGGCTCAATTGCGCGGGCCGCCGGCGCGGCACGCTGCAGTGGCAAACGGCGGCGCTCACGGGCGACCTTACGCGGGCAGCTTACGCGCCCATGCCCGTGCGGACGACCCCGTCTTCAGGGCGCGTACATGACACTGCGTCATCCCCAGATCTCCGACAATGCGATGGTTTCAATCCCTGCGTTGTCCGTGGAACTCGGCCTCCACGGGGCCCGCCACCGGCCCCTGGGACCCTCAGAAGACACGGACCCAGGACGAACAACAGGCATCGGGAAAAACTAGCGAACACTCATGCCACATTCATCTGTCGATGCCCCCGCCAATGATCAATGTTGGCGGTGGGTTGAACGAGTTGCACTTCGACCGCAATCTTCCCCGAACGTGCCAACTTCGAGATCTGGGGGGGAAGGGCGTTGTCCAAATGTTATTTCCTCCTCTACCGAATCACCTTCAGGAACGCGGTCGGGTGCCGTGGAGACCGTTTATTTTGTAATCGGCGATAATACGGGTTATCCCCTTTGGGGGGGGAGGAGGGGGCCGGCTGATAACCTAACCTTCGGGCTGTGGATCGCCCTGCATATGCCCGCGCCCCCCCACCCCGGCAAGGTTAGGTTATCCTGGCGGGTGGGGGGGGAGGGGGGGCAAGCCAGGTAACCCGGGTGATCGCCGGACCCAACAGCCTCTTTCCTCCTCTACCGAGTCACCTTCAGGAACGCGGTCGGGTGCCCTGGGCCCGCGGGTTCGGCAACAAAAACCACGTCGGCGGCTGTCAGGCTCGCCTGGCACTGCGCTCCGCGCTCGGCCGCCCAGGCAGGGCTCGACGCCCAGGCCGCCCGGCACGAGATGGCACGCTGGGGGCTCCGACGGCCGTCGCCGGCTACGTCTGGCAAATGCACTATAGGTACGAGTTGGCTGCCTGTCGCCCGCACCCTCCTGCGGGACCGGGTCAGCGCTTCCCCTCCCCGGCGCCGCCCCAGCTCCGCTTCCTCAGCTCTCTTCCTTCTCATCCCGCGTCCTCCTGCTGCTGCTGCTGCTACTGCTGCCGCTGACTCTGCCGCATCTGCCTCTCCGCCTTGGAGTGCTGCTGATCATCCCTCAGGGCTGCTGCCACTTGCTTCGCACACGTTTGGTTGTGCTCAGCCATCACGAGCCTCGCACCCCGCAAGGAGCCCCAGCATGTGGTTCGTGCGTCAGTTTGGGCCTGCGCTTCACACGTTTCGTGCGTTTCACGCGTTTGAAGACTATGGCTTCAGAGTGCAACTTCGCATGTGGCTCCGCATCGATTGAAACTACTCCTCACAAGCTTCATCCTCATAAAAAGCCTGACCACGACCCCAGTAGCTGGTTTCGCATGTGGTCTGTGGATGGCGAATCAATGTGGGCCTCTCCATCACCCAGTTCGTGGCCCATAGGGATCATTGGCTACGGCAACTATAGGTGGGCTCGCGTGTGGCCCACGCCTCCAACTCGGCGACTCTCACACATGCCATTCAAGCGCATGAGGCAGGTGTGACCCAAGCCATCCTGGCCTGCTCGCCCCAACGCCACGATTGGCCGTGGGGTTCTTACAACACCTGGTCTCTGACGACCTCGCCTTGTGTGTCGCAGTCGGCTGTCCGCAGCAGCCGTGGCTCAAGCCATGAGGGCTCAAGCTGACCCTGTCCATCGGCTCGAGGAGAGCCGACGGGCCCCAAGGCGACGCGCGCGCCCCGGGCGCAAGCCGTGGCTGCGGGCGGAGTATTGGGCATGCGGCTCCCGCACGCGACGGGCTGGTCGCCGCCCCAGCGCCTGCACCCCCGACGCCAGGCGAGTGCCGCAGCCCCGCCGACGCAGGCGCCACCGCCGTGGTGGAAGGCGGGGCGGGGGAGGGCGAAGACGGAGGCACGGCCGGGCGGCCCCGCGGCGCCACGCAGGCGCCCCTCCCCCGGCGGCGCCGCCCAGGGGGTTCCGACGCGCCCGTGCCGGGAGGCGGCGCAGCCGAGAGAGGCGGCGGCCCCGGCGCCCCCGCCGAGGCGCAGGCGACTGCGGGACGGCACTTGGAGGTCGCCTGACACGACTGCCCCCGGGAGCAACCGAGGCGCGCCCGCCCGGGCGGCGCGGCGGCAGGTGGGCCAGACTCGAGCGCGCCGACGGGGTCTGGGCAGCGCCCGCCGAGCATAATGTCTTTCTCTCTCTCTCTGTTTGTTTTGTGTCTCTTTCTCTCTCTCTCTCTCTCTCTCTAGCATTCTACGTGGTGCAATAGGCGTGAAACAGAAGATGTGGTGCGAACAACGTCGGGCACTCTACGTGGTGCGATGTGCATTGTGCAAAAAATGCGGCAGATCGGTTGTGCAACCCATACTGCGCAGTCTGTGTGGGGCAGTATGCGCTGTGGAATTTATGTGGTGCAACAGATGCCGCGCAATCTATGTGGAACGACCTACGTGGTGCGATATATGTGGTACAAACTGTGCGAGGCAGTGTGCAATATATGTACGGTGCACGCTACGCAGTGCAATCTCTGTGGTGCAACCTGCCCTGCCGAAATTGAGCTTGTTGACTCCACTGTTCCCGCGCAGGCGACCGACACGGCCGCGGTGACGCTGACCGCTGGGACCTTCCCAGCGCGTCTCGGAGGCCGCGCTGACGCGCGGGCGCTTCAATGCGAGTCGGGCGGGCACGGTATCGTGGCGACGTCGACAACGGAAGACACAATGATGATCGTACCGATGCGAACGACCGTGACGATGACGACGACAGGGCCAACGCCGGCAAAAAGTCCGTGACCATGACGATGACGACGACGGGGCCAATGATGGCGACCGTGACGATCACGTCGATAACGATGATGGTGTCCACAAGTCGGTGATGAAGATTTTGGAATGGTTTCGGCATGCGCGTGCGGCTGATGGGCGCGAGTGGCCCGCATGGTACGATGTGACAGGGATCGTGCCCGCCCCCTGCCCCCACAGCACGCGCGCAGGGCCGCCCCAATAATTTCGACATGCGCGCGCGATGGGGCCTGTTCGGTTGCATTTGAACAGGATGGAACACCCATGCCGTTCGAATCGGGGAACTCGATCTGGAACTCGATTCTGGATGTCAGCACGCGCGCGTGTGGGTTTCGTCCCGTTTGTGACAAAGGACTCTTACAACTTGACGGCTGCTGGTAAACGACCACGCGCGCAACATTTTCTCTTGCGAGCGATGGCGGGCCCCATCGGTCCCGGTTTGGCTTGAATGGTGTGGAAGCAGATTCGTAAACCTCTTGAACCACAGACAAGGGGCGAGGGGATCATCCGGGCGGGGTGAAAACTGGTATCCTTTTGAAGGAATAGATGTGGAACAGTGCATGTGGTGTAACCTTTGTTGCGCTATCTACGTGATGCCATTTATGTTCTGTTCGCAGTGAGTTGTCAACTCCACTGCTCGCGCAATCAATTCACCCACCCACAAACAACTTGGTTTTCAAAGCCCACGCGACGGCGGTTGCGATGAGTGGTTGTCGATGGCTGGTGCGTCTCCGCGGCCGCGCTAGCCCGCGCATTTTCGCGCGCGCAGCGGTCAGCTAGTGCGGCGTGACCGACGCGCCACGGTGGCGCTGACCGCTGGGACCTCCCCAGCGGGCACGTCAGTGCGTGTCTGTGACGTGGGCGGGCGCGATATCATGGCGACGCCGAAAACTGTAGACACGATGCTGAGAGTAGTGATGATGGTGACGATGGTGGCGATGACGACGGCCGGGCCACTGACGGCGCCGATGTTGATCACGCCCGCCAGTAACGATGACGATGTCCTCCGTCGGTGATGAAGGTTTTGGACGGAGTTCGACATGCGCGCGCGGCCGACGTGCGCGAGTGGCCCGCGTGGTATTATTTGACACGGATCGTGCCCCTCTCCCTCCCCAGCACGCGCGCAAGGGCGTCCGGATGAGTTCGACATGCGGCGCGGGAGGCCCTTTTGGCAGAGCTTGATGACAATGTTGAAAACCCGTAGTTTTCATAAGGATTCACAAGAGCGCGCGCGCAGGTTTTGTTTTTCTTTTTTTCTTGTTGTTTCTCTTTCTTTTTTTTTAAAAAAAGGATACGACACCTGAAGTGTTCGAAAGATTTCGGGGGGCGCGACTCCGTGCCGCTTGCTGCACAAGGGATTCATGCGACAGCACGCGCGCCAGGGCGTCCGAACGAGTTCGACATGTGCGCGCGAGAGGCCCGTTTGGTAGCATGTCATGAACATATTGATAAACGACGGTCGTTTTAGGCGTTTTTGATTGAACATCCATGTTGCGATACATGTGTTACTCATATGTTTTTCGTGACACTCGATGTTGAAATCCTTACTGGGTCCACGTTTTTTTGTCAGGTTCTGGCATGCGCGCGCGACGACGCGCGCGTGTGCATTCGTCCCATGCTTTCTGCAAGGGGTTCCGGAACACTTATGATTTGTGATACACGAATGCGCGCGCGTAGTATTCTTTGAAAGGGATGAGGGGGGAACCCATACCCGTCTGCCGGGGATGGTACGAACTTCTACTGAGGATGGACGATGGGGCAGACTCGCATGTAATTTGCACATTCCCATAAGGCTGGAGGGGGGGAGGTAGATCCTGATGTTCTCGAGGGCGTCCAAGAGGGGGGCGTCCAAGAGGGGGGGGTGCGAAACATGGCCCGAGGCACGCGCCCAGACCAGGCGGGGCCAGGAAACGACTTGAAACAAGAAGAGGCGCCATGAAATCTGGGGAAGATATCACGGCCGCCGCCATGAGGTCCCCCCCCCCCTAGTCATCGCCCCCCTCTATGCCGCTCCCGCTGTTGTTTTCCCCGAATGGAGAAAGTATGCGTGCACTCCACGTGGTGCCAACGCGCAACGCCGAGCGCGCGCGCCGCTCGCGAGCCTGTTGC